GCCCATCCATGAATTCTCTCTTTTCACTTTCTACTTATTGCATACTGTACATTTGCACTTTGTCCAGCTGTGTTGTGTGGGTGGGACAATAAATGTTCACAGAGAAGAGCAATAAAGCACCGGCATCGGTCTTTATGATATGATTTGCTACATGGCACCTTTCGATGCACTTTCACCGAGTGACCGAGTGTTGCATCCTAAAATTATTATTTAAAGAAAATGAACACTTCAGCTGCTGTACCTTGAGCAGATTCAACAGAAAATAGGCAGTTTCACCTCAGATACTATTTTGCCTAAAAGAATGCCTCAAAAAGAAATTTCTACACAATGAGATACACGAGTATTGCGGCATTCTTTGCACACTAAACTGCAAGATAACATTCTTGCTTTGTCCATTCTGGAAAGAAAAAATAAATTTAGGTTGCCATCGGGTGGCTGAAAATGGTACTGCATTACAGAGTTAGGCTACATGAACAAGCAAAGATTTGGGCCCCAGATAAGTATAATAACTCTGTACTGCATGCCATTGCTGAAGTGGGTAATTGTAGGGTAGAAACACCCTTTAAGGAAGCAGAGTAACATGTGGCACAATCAGAAAGGGTAAAATGCATTTAAATTTAAACCCATATAACCTGTTGGACATACAAGGATGTGCAAGAAGCATTTTATATGTGATTTTCAATTTTTATGCTATTGCCAGGATAACACAATGTTCAATGATGGAGATGGAGTAAAATGATGACCCTGGTAAATGTTTTTGCTAAAATAATCACTGGCAATATGGACAAAGTTACATTCCATGGTCGAAAAGGGTGAAAGCAACTTGGTCAAGTGGGTCTTATCCCCCTCATAGTGAGGACAGTGAATTTGAGGGCAGTGATAGTGAGGGAGAATGAGAATGGATCCATCATTAGAGGGACACAAACCATACATTCTTTTTAAGGTTATATTGAATTAGATATTTGTTAAAACAAGAATGATCTATATTTGTAGATAGATAGATAGATAG